TCATCAGACATTAGACCTTATCCTTGGATGACTATTCAATGTCGTTTGCCTTCCATGACGCATATGTCTGTCTCCCACCATGGGGATAACAATATATCAGATGAAAGCATCTCAATACTTGTATATGGGTCGAACCTAATTGAATCAGGAGGAATTTACTATTTGCCCTCCATATATGCTCGGAAAGATTAGTCTCCACTTCTAAATGAGGACATAGTTGGTCTTGGAAAAAACAAAAGATTCTGCATGACACTTAGTGTGAGATTTAAAATTTCAAGCTCTCACTTGGTAAGTCGGAATTTTGAATTTGTCTGTCCCTCAGGAACTCAAATATAATTGAGAGAACACTAGTAAGTAAAATTCTTCTCTTATTTTATTGCCAAGTTTTGATAATAATTCATTCAAACTTTTATGTAATATTCTTTGCTGACGTAACAGAAAAGGAAAGGTCCATATAGCAAAGAAGAAAAAAGAAAGGAAAAGTTCGGGATTGATAAGAAAAGATATAAAGCTGATGCACCTCGCAAATCTTTGTCCCTGAGTGAAAAAGCTATGGAAGAGGTCATATGATATTGGCTATAGTTTTTTTTTTTTCATCCAAATTATATTGGCTATAGTTATTCATTATATTCATTTTGTGTGTTCGTTATTGTTGTATTTATATGTTTTACTGTTAATAATCAGTTAAAAAAAAAAGTAACTTTGATATTGCTTTTTTCTGAAGACTAATAACTAACTTTACTTTCAACATGCCCAAAAAGGAACTTTGGATTATTGAATCTTTGGCTTCAACGTAGTACACAAATAAGATAACTGAAGTTCTATCGTGGAAGAGGAGGGACCAGCTAGTGTCGGCACTCAATAATTTTTCATATATGTTATTTTGACATATATTAAATTATTAAATATGGATACTTTTATATTTTAAAGAATAAAAGTTAGCGTTTAATTAGTTCCCTTTTTCATAAGAAATTTTTTTGAAGGAGCTGGGATTTGAGACTCAAGGATCTGTATATGTCTCTAACTCAAAGAGCATTTGTCTATGTGTTTATAAATTGCCCACTAACAAAATATTTACATTAACAACGGGATTTAAATCACAACTTTATGAGTTGCATGTCCAATTCTTATTAACTAGATCATAATTTTTGTTGACAACTTTTAATTAGTTTTAAGGTGTAGTGTATATTTAGTGGGTATGTGTCGTGTTCCAAAAGAATTAATATTCTCCATTTTTTAAGAATTTGTAAAATCAGATTATGGCATGGATATATTTCAGTCCTATATAAATAAAAATAACAGAGTTGATCCGTGTGTTTTATTGAGAAACACAGTCCACAAAATTAAAATAGACTCACGAGGGGATCTCGTCTTCCCAAAAGTTCTCTTTATTCCTTGCTTCAACCTCGTTAATGTAACGTAACGCTCATATTATCGCCCTTCACATGCGCTTATTATTTTTTTCCTCCATCACTGCTATATGCTTAAAAAGTAAGAAGACGGGGAAATTTTTAAGACACAAATTAGTTAAAATTGTTTTATTCGCATATGCAGGTTATTAGCTTATTTCAAGTGATTATGAGGGTTTGTTAAACAAGCATGTAACAATAATCTTGTCCTCTAGAAAAGAGATTTGGGTGTCATTCGGTACGAAATATTGAAAAGTAGGGGTAGAAATTGTGATAGAATTAGGAAAATCTATTCAAATAATGTTTTGCACAAGAAATTATATTACTTGTTATATGAGATTGGAAAAACTCGTGTATATGGGATTGGGGAGTACCATAGGGGAGATAGTATTCCATAATCTCACCTCCATAGATTTGCCTACTTTTATATAATAAACAATTATTTATATTAAATACTTTTTTAATAATTTTTCTCAATGACATTCTCAGTCCCTACCCTTATTTTCAATACTTGGTACCAAAAAGAACATAAATTAGTATTAATAGATGTGGATTTTAATTTCATGTTAGAAGTCATAGGGTTGTACACAATTTTAAACATGAAAAGTGGAAACCTCGAAACCTGGAGAAAGTAATCGTGGAAGCTGCTTCGGCCTTCATATTTTGCATGCAAGACACCTTGCTAGCTAGATTACACCCTTCAAAGATCAAACCTTGTCATATAAATGACTCTCTCTGGAACTTAATTAGCCAAGCTAGCTACTGGCTCAACTTCTCAACTTACACAGAGAAATTAAACAAAGGGAAAGAGAAAGATAAAGATAATGGAGCTGAACAAGACGGTGATGGTGAAGAAGGTGACTGTGTTGGCTTTCCTAATAATTACTTTCACTTCAAATTTCGCTCATCCTTATCGTTTAAACGACGCAACCTCCTTCCTCACCAGTCCAATGATGATGTCGTCGTTGTCTAGGTCGAAATCTTCATCATCGTCTGGGTGCTGCGATTCCTGTATCTGCACAAGATCGATTCCTCCTCAATGTCAGTGCCTTGACGTAGGGGAAGACTGCCACTCGGCTTGTGACAAGTGCCTTTGTACGAGGTCCTTTCCTCCACAGTGTCGCTGTTCTGACATAACTGGCTTCTGCTACGAGTCATGCAGCTCCTATACATGATGCTGATAATTAATAACACAGCAGACTAATGATCTAGGACTTGATGATGAACAGGTTTTTTAACTACAAGTATCTATGATAATGTCGGAGACAAAGCCACCCTAGCTAGCCTGGCTTTGTGTTTATGAGTAGCGGTGTGGAAATAAACGAGTGATCTTGAAATAAAAGGGTCTCATTTGTGTATGGCCTCCAGTTTGTTTGCTTCTCTGCAAACCGGATTCCGGTTATTATACGTACGAGCACTTTTCTTTAAGATTTGAATCTTGTTAATCAAAGTTATATTGATCTTTTCCATGCGAGCACATTCCATGCTTATCAAAACGTAAGTATGAAGTCTTTATCTTAGTTTTGACCATTTAGACTGATTTTAGATTGTCTAGATTTAATTTGAATTTTTTTGCTTTAAATAATTTTTTAATTTAATAGATACAGATATTGGAAATATAGATAATTTTATAACTAATATTTTTTTAAAAAAATAAATATATCACCAAAAAATTGCGGATCAAAACTTTTAAGTCTCCATAGTTCAGATTAAATTTTGAATTGTTCAAATTTCATTACAACAATAAGCACACCGTGCTCATTAGTGAAACTTCAACAAAAATATATTTTAAAAATAGGTTAAATTTTTGAAACTCAAATAAAAAAAATTTATTTTTTAAAAATTACTCAAATTAATTTTCACGAGAAGAAAAATGTTGATTTACTATATATATTTATATTAAATGTTCAATAAAAATATTTTTCAATAGATCATACTACTATGTTTTTGAAAAAATTTAAGCTCTATATCTATTCTCACGACCATTTCTTATATTGTTCAAAACACACAGTTATTTTCATCGTAACTTTTTACTGATGGAATAGTTATAAAGAATATTTCACCTAAAAACAGAGTATTTCTCGGCCTTTTGGGCCTTCAACTAGGATTAAGGATATCTTGATTTCATGGGCCTAAATATCCTGCCGAAAAATGTCCTTAAGATGGCCAGGGCCCAAGAAGGAGGATTGCCTCTCAAGTCTGATATATTTCTTGAGGAGGTCAGGGCCCAATTTAACAGTCTGATATCATATCGGTCTCGAAGCTTTCTGGAAGAGGTTATCACATTTTGTATGTGACGAAGTTTTAGATAAGATTATTTTTAATAAGAGAATATTTATACTTAAAAAAAAAAAAGCCTTCTTATAAGCCAAGGGGTTGAATGTTAGTTCTTCACTGTGGGAAAAATCAAGATTTGGAATTCTGCTCAGAGGTATTAAAACACCCGACAAAACGGCATTATAAAAAAGGCCTGGCTTTTTTTATCCCTTTATTTTGTTTAAATAAAATAAACAATAACCGTGAAAATGAATAACCGGGCAATAAGAAGGGTCACTCATGCAGATACGTGGCCTCCAGCTTTGCATTCCTGCAAATTGGCTTCTGGTCAGATTCTGACTATTTCTTGCAGCTTTCTATGCATCATTGCATCTTCGTACCAGCAACCCCTTTTTTTAAAAATTTTAAAAAAATATTAAAGAGCATTTTTACATTTTTTTAAAAAAATAATATCCCAACATCTTTTTGTATATCAAAGTTAATTATACCGAACACCCTGTATTTGCGGTCGAATCCCTGATAAATGACATAATGGATGGGTGAGTCATGGGCAAAAAAATCTTGTATATTAATACGATGCTAAATTAAGGGTTGGTTTGGCAAAAAATTTGCCAAACACCCCCATTTTTTTTAAAACCAAGGTTTTGCCCAACAAAACCTTGGTTCCAGATAAGCAGGCGGGGCGTAGCTTCTGAGGAGGGACTCAACGGTCAGCTCATGGAGGGAAAGCACGGGGGGTACTCATTCAGCTCAAGGGGTACAATTATTTGGCAAAATAAATCATTTTTCTAAAAACATATTTATTTATTTTATTAATATACACACACTAATTTCTTATTATTTATATTATTTATGCCATATTTATTATGTTGCCAAAATATATATTATTAATAAATTTATTACTTCAAATAAACATATATTATGAAATATATATTATATGCAATTATCATTTAAACTTATGTCCTTTTTAGTAATTTCTACATATCAAAAAGCACTTCTGACAATAATTATCCAAACACTCTCACTTTATCAGAATCACTTTTCCAGAAAATCTATTCTTTTAAAATCTATTCTCTAGAAGCTATTCTGCAAACCATGATTTTGCCTCATCCAAACACCCCCTAAATATGAATCCAGAATTATATGATTTATAATTTTGGCAAAAAATAAAAATAAAAATTTAATTATTACCAGTCATCTTCATTATCAAAAGTCAGAATCTGACTTTTTCATTGTATGTTAACCTAACTACTGTTCACACCTTATCCCACCCCCGCCACGTTGATCTTCTCGGAGGATTGTTTTCTTCTCTTTTTAATTTTCATTTTCTTTCAATTTTCGGGCGCCTCTGTCGTCACTTCTTGACTCTGTTCAGTGACCGAAGCAAACGAAGGCGTTGGATTTACTTCTCGGAGAGTCCATCGGTTCACCATGATTCTCAAGCACAGTTTATTGAGTCCCATCCCCACTTGGTATCTCCCTGTTCATCATTTTCCTTCCTTTTTTTTTTTTCTCTGGTTAATTCTTCCATTTCTCTCGAGCTGATGAATTGACTTTCTTAAAGGGCTGGTGTATACTTTTTCTCTATGGAAGATTTTGTTCCCATTTGTGTTGTTGTTGATGCTGACCTTCTTCTGATTTTTCCTGTTACATTTGTGAACCCTTTTCTCAGTTCTGTCTAACTTCTACTATGAAATAGTTATACTGGCAGCTACTTTTTTCTTTCCGGCCTTTGAATAAATTCCTCTTGTTTTCCTTCACGGTATGAACTATTCAGATGTTTCTGCATTTGAAAAGCACGTGGGTTCTTGTTTCAGTACTAATGCAGTTGAATTCAATACTATTGTTTGATGCTGGGAAAGATTATGAATTTACTTGAAGGGAAATTCTCAGGATGCGTGCGGCATATATAATGGTTTAAGGGAAAAAGATATGGATATTCATAGAAATAATCCTTCCTTTAAATCACAGGGAAGAGAACGAGCAACTACCCTGAGGGATAGAACTCCAAACCATACCCTGGTAGAAAATATTTCATTTGTAGTTGCCATGCCATCTTCTATGAGGCAACTACCATAGTACTGTATTTAGAGCAAGCCTAAACTGTGATGAGTAAACAGCCTTTTTCTGACTGTTGACTGATTCTTTTTCTACACGTCCAGCCAACAGCTTACCGATCACACTTGTTCAGTTTGGTGTTAACTATGTATATTGGCCGATATTAAATGATAGCTTAGATTGTTCTTAATTAATTATGACCCTTTATCTAAACTATTTTTGGGTTCCATTAACCAAGGAATAGCAATCTCATAAACCTACATCTTAAAATCTACCGTTGAGAATAAATTTCTGTCATAATTTGGCTTAGCAGAGGTCCAAGGATATCTTGTTGCTCTTATGTCCCAAATGATGTCTTAGTACTTTTCTCTTTTGCAGGCTTGTCAGAAGCTGACAACAGGGAAACCGAAAGTACTATGCCAGAGCATTTGCAGGCCCAATAGCAGTGGAGAAAATTAATATAAACTTGATTTCACAGCAATATAATGAACAGAAAAACTGAAATCGGTACCGATTTCTGGGTGGAAGAATTCAATGGACAGGTTTACACACCAGCAAGATCAAAAAGGAAAGTCAGATCAAAGAAGAGGGAGTACATTGGATGGGGATCGACACTACTGATTTCATTTCTTGAATCAATTGGTAAAGATACTAGCGAGCCATTAACTCAGTATGAAGTAACTGCTATTGTAAATGAGTATGTTATGAGGAATAACCTTATTCATCCTCAAAAAAAGAAAAGAATTGTTTGTGATGAAAGGCTCCATTCACTGTTTGGAAGGAAATCAATTGGCCGAGTCAGAGTCCATGAGATGCTGCAGTCACACTTTGCTGCAAACTGTGAAGAATCTTCTGAGGACTCTTTATTAAACTCAGAAGATGATGAGAACACCTTGGCAACGTGTGAATCCCTGAAGACAACAAAACCAGAGAGTAAGACTCTATCAAAGAAAAGGGTTTCAAAAAAACCTAAGAGCTGTTTTGCTGCCATCATTCCTGCTAATATCAAGCTAGTATATTTGAGGAAGAGTCTAGTTCAGGACCTTCTTAAAGACCCTGAAACTATTGAGAGTAAATTAGTTGGTAGTTTTATTAGAATAAGATGTGATCCAAATGATTATCTTCAGAAGAACTCCCACCAGCTTCTGCAAGTTACAGGTAATTCGTTTGCTGTAGGGTATGGCTTCACATATTAAATATGCTTCTACTTGAGCTTTTTAAATGTACAATTTGCTTCTTAAGTTATTCCCCTACATACTATTTAAATGATCCCTCCAAAAGCAGCAGCATGGATTGGCTTTCTGAAAAACTTATTGAACACTTGAATTCATACTTGACTAGTTATTTTAAGAAATAGAAGCCTCTTAATAAAAGCAGCCTCAAACTTTATCATAATGTTATGTGTTTGTCTACATATTAAATATTCTTCTTCGACAGCTGATGTCTTTCATATGGTGTTGAACGGCGATATTCTGAGGCCCAAGCTCATTAGGGCTCATTAATCTAATTGCTCATTTAAGTTTATTATTATTGTTGTTATTCTCAGGATGTGTAAAAGATAAAATCAGATAAAATATCTGATTTTATATGGACTAGATTTTTATCCAAAATCAATTAGATTAGGTAATTTCTGTTATTTCCTCTCCTATATGTATGAACCGAATACATTCAATAAAAGTTGAAGCTGAGAATCTATTGTGTAGCCGATTCCTTCATTAAATTTTCATTTAGGGTTCACAAACTCAGGTTATTTGGAGGCCTAATTGACCATTTTTTATTATTTACAAGGGCAATGAACTAATCGACGTTCTCGTCTTTCATAGTTGTAAATTCAAGATGTTAGTACCTGTATAGATATTGGAGCCATTGTATACCACCTGTTCACTCTAGGTAATCATTTCCATTCTTCCATTAAAGGATGTCCATCTGGAAGAAATGAATATCTCTTCAAAGCTGTTATTTGTCACCGCCTTTTACTGCCTTTGAAAGGTAGTAATCAGTTAATAGAGTACCTCCCAATGGAGTACCAATTACCATACAACCTATTCATTGGACAGGCTAGATTCTCAAGGCTTAGACTTCGAGCTGAATTAGGATTTGTTGATGAGAGTGGTAGTAATTTAAACCAACGAGCCAACAGATTCTTGTTGTTTTGATGAAAACAAAAGCTTCTTACTCAAACAAGGGAGAATCAGTAACAGCAAAAGATGAGTACCTCAGACTGAATCTTATCAAAACACAGGGTTTTGTTTATAAAAAGAAATTGCTTATAGCAACTACAAGGTCTAGGACACTTTGATCACATTGATAGCATGTTCTAATGTAGCATATAACGGTTCATATTAACAGTAATTACATTTTACATTTGTAGCTCGAATAGCACAAGTATATACTTTTTTGCCCCCCTCGGAAGAGAGAAGTTATTTGATATTAAGATAAACAATTTCAAGAAACAGCCCCAGAAAATTTTATGAAAACTATCAATCTAAGTTCTATAAGGGCTTTCATGAAATAATAAAATTTGAGATTAAAAAATTGTTACATGAAAACCTGAATAAGTTACAGCTCTCACTCTACAAAGATTCTGCCTGCCCTGCATTTTGCACAAAGTATATACTTAATGTCAAAAAGGTGTTGCTAAGTGACCAAAGATGGGTTTGCACTGATTGGATATTGAAGTCTTGAGAATTATTAATTGTGCTCTGCAGAATTAAGCCCTCTAGTAAAGATATCTAGTGCTAGAAATCCTGGTCTTTGACCCCTTTATGCTTATCAGTTTAAATTGTTGCTATTTCATATGCATCTCTTTAAAGATCTGCAGGTGATCACTATTTATCTGTACTCCTCATTAATGATTCACTAGGCTTGATACTAGTGCATGGCCTCTTTGATAATTATCGTTTCATGTTACATGCTAAACACCTTTTGTTTATGTGTTCCACATGCACTGAATATATATAATATATTTCTCCCTGGGCTATCCTTTAGGTATAAAGAAGTGCCCTGGAATGAAAGATGTGAATGGGGAAATTCTCCTTCAAGTTTCTGGTTTCTTTAAAGATGTTGGCATTCACATGCTTTCTGATGATGACTTCTCTGAGGTATGACTGATATCTCATTTTAGTTTAAAATTGTATTTAGCTAAAATGATGTACTCAAGTACTAAGTCAAGAGTGTAAAATTGCTTCTAACCTGCTTTTATTGGAGACATGTTGTACTTTATGTGGTTGCTTTACTTAACCATGAGATTTATCATGTTCCAGAACTCTCTGCTTTACATTATATCTATGATACTGAACACTAGACTAAAAGGGAGTGAGGAGAGGGATGAAAGATGGTAGGGAAAAACTACAATCAATTCAAAACGGTCTCTATAAAGCTAAAATATGTAAAACTAGAGTTTCCTATGCCTAGAATAAGTTTTCCAGAACTTCCCATTAATCTATTAAATTTTTCCTTAAAAGTTTTTTGGTGTACGTTATTGGTTTTGGTTTCAGGAGGAGTGTGATGATCTTTGTCAGAGAGTAAAAGGTGGCTTGCTCAAGAGGCCTATGATTGTAAGTTTTGTTTTAAAATTCAATTACTTCTAAAAAGGGTAGTTTCTGGTATGCTGCAGGGCAATATAATGCTTTAAATTATGCATGACAAGGAATAAACAGCATTGCCTGTCTTCTTCACAAATGGAAGTTGTTTGCTCTTGAACTCTGGCTTTGCCAGGTTTGATTTGATTGTTAAGTTTTAACCTCATCAGATACCATGCAAGGGGATACCAATTTGCAGTTTGAGGCTATGCTTGGACCTCATGATTCCTACTATAAGCTCTACGAAGTTGAAGGTTTTGTGCCTCACATTTTGCTCAAGGGATCCTGAGGGTTAGATGATCATGAAAACAATACTGCAATTTGGACTTTCCATCACAATTACTTTTGCTGGCTTATCCCTTCATTGTCTAAAGAGATGTTGAGAGTTGAGACCCTATCAATGAGCATTTAGCCATTGGTGAGGACAAGAAGGACCTGATGAAGGAATAAAGCTGAATATGCTTCAAAATTAGTATTAGCTAGCTTGATTAGGCTTTTGAATTTGAGCATACGAGTGCATCTCTAGACTGTGACTAGACGGTATAATGGAGTAAATTGTATATGTTTATGTCATAATGTCTAGGACAATGCTCCATGCTTTCTGAATTTAGACTGTATTATCTTTTCTGATTTGAATCTGAGGGATATTTTTTGGTTGATGTCTTTGTTCATATTTTTCTTTTACCAGAAAAAATGTTGAAGTTGAGACTTAAACTGAGTATACTTTCGCACTAGAGTTCATTATGTTTAGAAATAGATGGATATTCAATAGGAAATAACACTTAATTTCATGGCATGATTGTATAATATTTGCAGGCACTTGGACAATTGGAAATAGATTCGATTTTATTTGTTGGGATTAACAGGGAGGAAGCGTCAAATTAAAAATATGTTGGCATTAATGCATCCTATGGCATCCCCCCTGCAGTTTTTTTAGGGTTAGAAAAGTTGAGATTGAAATGTCGATACGTGATATTGCTTCCTTGATCCATCAGTTACTTTTATGCAGATCCAATGTGAACTTAATGCCCCTGGTAGTAGTTTTTTAATAAAAACTGTGATGACTTTGTTGCAAAGAATTGTAACCATTTTCAGAAGCTGCAACTCTTATATTCTAGAAATTTAACGTAGACATCTGTGCTTATTGTAGCTAAAATTTCTCTTATTTATGACTTTGTTTATACTAGAAAGCGTAAGTAAATGGAATATGATATGTAAATATAATAAATGAGAGAAGTTAGTTAGGACTTAGTTGGGGGTAAGTAGGAGAGATTACCAGTAGTAGCTAAAGGCTATAAATAGGTGGCTTAGGACTAATTTTAATTAGCTTATGAGATTAATGTATTTAGTCCCTTTTCTCTCTCTCACCCTCTCCCTCTCTCTCATCTATCTTGTTTCTCTCTCTTCTCCCTCTGTCTCCCCTTTTTTCCTCTGTTCCTCCCTCTTTCCCAACTTTTCTGTTCAACAGAATATCAATGACATTACAATTGTCTTCTTTTCTTTTCTTTTTTTATTTTTTTGAGCACAGACATTACAACTGTCTTCTTGATTGAGACATTACAACTGTCCTCTTGATTGAATGATTTGGGACTGTATGACTTCAAGTAATCTGATTAATACCTTATTGAATCTGAATAATTTATCATCATAACCTAAATGATTTTGTACCTAAAGATTTACTGATATTATCACGGTCCCAAAAAAGGTTAGGCCAGTAGGGGACTGGTTTATGTGCAATAGAATTAGGACGAAATGATGGGCAATTCAGTTATTGGTAAAAATGGTGATGAAGTAGCAAGGATTAGAGAAGTAACTTTCTACTCATAATTTTGTGAGATGAAGTGGGGATCTTTTGTTGGTGGCAGAGACTCTGGCCTCTGTAAAGCCAGAAGAACCTTTGCTTTATTGACTGCTTATTTGCTATGCTCTTCTTTCTTTCCTCTTTCTCCATAATTATCGACTAGCCATTTCATTCTCTGTTTGGAGGGAATTGCAGCTGAATATGTCCATAAATGAAAAATAAACCTATTGATGAGCTTGTGTAAATATTGTAATCTCCAGCATTTTTCTTTTCTATATTCTTCACTACATAAGGTGCTTGTGCCATATGTTGTAGGTGGATTTTGAGCAGAAGGCCAGAATATTGCACGAGGATATGACAAAGCATGTGAGTATTGGCTAGTAATGCTTTCTTTTTTTGTTTCAATGCTTCTTTTTTATTTGGGATAATATGTTATTGTTATTTGTGATAAACACAAGTTCTCCTGATCTTCCATGTGAAAAATATGGTGGTCCAAATCATACAATTTCTTATTAGAAATGCGCAATATAAGTCCCTGAAAAAATGGTGCAGACCCAATATTTGAATTATGGATGACCAGAATTGCTGCTTGAATCATCAGAATCATGTGAAGCATGTTGGGGTGACGCAATTGCCACTGTTCTGGTGATTGATTCATGTTGGCTCATGGGGGTCACAAAGACCAGTTCTTAGTGGCACATAATCTGAAGATGAAATAATCTGGGGGCCTTTTAAATAATAACGCAAGGGACAGTTCTCAGAAGGCTCTGTTTGTGAGATAAAAATCTTTCAAGTACAACACACTACCCTTCAATAGAGGGAAAGAAGACAAAATGATAGAATACAAAATGAAGCCTTTTCTTGGTGGATAGATAACAGCTCAAACGGTGACATTGGATAAATATAAACATGTCTTGCGAGGTCCATGTGGTTTGCTCAACAGATAAAGCTAATAAATCACAAACTAGAGCAAATACTTTATACTGGAGCTTTAGGCAAGAAAATATTAGAATAAGAATGAAAGTTTTACAATTTGTATTTTCATTTACTGGCACACTACTGACAATCACCTCAAAGATTAGAGTATAATAAAAAAAAAAAAAAAAATCATATCTGAGAGTGCAACCAGTATATGAACTTGTGTTTCTTTTACGTATATAATTTTTTATGGTATATATCATTTATATGATATAATTCACGCTATTTTTCATTGTATGATTCAATACCAGTTTACATTTATGGTTAAAAAATGAGTCTTCTAATTCATGATTTGAATTGCAATTTGATTACTATGGTGAAAAACACTTTATTCTTATTATTTGACACATCTGAAAACATGCGAGGCACATCCAAGATCTATTTTTCATGTGCTCATTGTTTTCATGAGTTAACTATATAAACATTTTTCAATATATTTTTTTTTTGCCAGAAAACGTTTTTCAATATATGTTTTGATGTCATGCCTTGTTCTTATGTCCTGCGTCTATGCTTCAGATATTACAGTTTCGTGCGCTTTACATGCATGTTTTGACTATCTATAACATCCTTCTCGTTTGATTCTCCACCTGACTTTGTTTCTTTCTCATATGTGGTGGATTTGTTCTAGTGGCTTGCAAGAGAACTTGTTATGTTAAAGAATCTTATTGAACGAGCTAATGAAAAGGGTTGGCGCAGAGAATATCCTTTCCTAATTATGGATGAAATTCTTTTCTGTATTATAGTAATATCTCTCTATCTGTTTGTTAGAATGTGATAAAATGTGGTGACTGGCTAAGCATATTCATTATTTGGGTAATACAAATTATTAGTTATTACTGAGCTGTACAATCAGTTTGTGAATAGAATCCACGCCATTTTGACATTTAATATATAATACTCGGAAGCTTCAGGAATATTCATTGTATTAATAGATTATATGCAAATGACAATTCTCATTTGTTTATTTATAATGCAGAGATTAAGATGAAGAAACCCTGTCAATAATGTTGCAAGCCTTTTAGAATCTGTGATCTTTATAGTTTCCTGTGTTCAGATGGATGGATTTCTTCAGTGCCTTCCAATCAACTTAAGGGAAATAGTAGCAAAAAGCATATGTGGCAATCCTTTTTCAGTTTATTCTTACGTGGGATCTTAGAGTTGTACAGTTCTAACAGAGTTGTCTGGCTTGCTAGTGTATTTTTTATGTTGACATCTTAATATGATAACTTGTGACATACCCAGCTTGATCTTGCATCTATAATTACTTGTAACATGCTGGTGATGGAGTGAGTTCTACAACCCATTCAACATTTCAACTTCTGTTAGTTGTCAGTTGCCACACACATGCACGCACATACAGAAGAGTAGCTTCTATGGTTCTCTGATGTGATGCGCATGGGTTAAACTTTTGTTCACTCCTTCTAAGTCCCTTCTAAATGAAGTGGCCTTTAATTCCTTTACATGTTCATGAAAGAAAATCTCTGTTAGGATGGTGAACGGTTTGCACTAAAATTATCTTTCGAGTATCATGTGTCATGTGACATATATGGAGAAAGCTTTTCTATCAAAAAGTATGGATTCCTTAATTAATAGGAAGTACACTGGATGAGTACCTACAGAGACAGGCGAAGCTTCAGAATCCAGATGAACAGGCACGGCTGTTGCAGGAAATCCCATCTGTTATTTCAGATGACATAGAATCAGAATCTGCAGCACCAGACGTTCCCGAAGAAAAGATGGAAAATGATTCACCAGAATTATTACAGACTACATGCAAGCAGGAATCTTTGCTGACTGAGATTCGAAAGGAGGTTAGAGTTGCTTCTGAACCTGAGATTACAACAACGGATATTGCTGATTGTGCAAGACACGAAAACAATTCACCGAAGTCAATTCTCAGGGGATCCTCAGAAGTTCCACGCGACATGCCTGCTAATGGCTCTGTGTATTCTCATGACCCTGTTTCTGCAGGTATGTTACAAACCTTCGGCTTTTCCATATTTCATTTCAAACGAGCAATTCCAGCTTGAAAAGCACAACTAACGTGTCAGAAAATTAGTGTTTGAAGCCAAAGCGTTATCTGATTTGTATGAAATTAATTACTCCCACAACCCGTCCAACTCTATGGCATGATCAAATTTTGTATTCATCTCCATCAAGATAGGGTGTGAAACTCCAAAAATACTAGCTAAATATCAAGCCTTGATAATTGTAACGGTGGTGAGGGTGGCAAGACTGATCAGGGCATGGCCCATGCCAGCCTGAATGATGAATGGTTTGTGTTTTTCCACCCACTACTCGGCCCTACCCATGAAAAACTTGAGTCATTTCGGGCTGGGCTGAGCAAGGTGGGCTTTCTTATCCAAGTGGTAATGCTTTGTCCATAATAGCGGATATAGAGAAAACTTCAATTAAAACTTAATAAATTAGATGCCTCAAATATTTAAAGGATAAAAACGGAGCTCTAGCAGAAGCAGCTCTCTAATTTTCTAATTATCAATCAATGGAATCCATCTTTATATACATTGCTCCACCCTGCGTCAGCCTGTCCTATCATATTGAGATGAAAAATCAAATTCAAACTTTTCTAAGGTTGTAGAGAAAACTAGTGGGTAGTGATTTGGGATATTGAACCCTCCCCTAAAAGTTAACTGTTGATATAGGAGAACTAGCTCATTTAAATATCCCATTGAGCGTTCTTTACCTTTCAGTATGGGACTTATGTATCTCATACTATAAAGTCTCTATCAACGGGCCATCTTGGAGGGTCAACGTCCTAGTGAGTGCACTTTGCAACACTTCCACTTGGTGACACATCAGTTGACTTCGTAATATCCCTTTTTGAAGCCGTTGACCAGCTCCAATACCAATTCATATTTACTTAAGTGGGATGGGGAACTCCCCTCGAAAAGCTAGCTTCTCCTGTCTAAATATGCCATTACGCATCTCAACATACATTCAAACCCCTTTGATATCATTGCTCTACTTTGGCACGCTTTTTGCAGAAAATTGCAACGGCATTCATACTCAACAGCAACGAGTGCAACAAATAGACCTTACATGTGAGAATGATGGTGTAGCTGAACTTGATAAAGCTAAGGTCTCTCAACAAACACCAAACAAGCCGATTCCACGACCTGAGGTTATCGAATTAAGCGACGATGATGAAGAAACTGAAGAACCAAACTCCGCAAAACAGACTACTGCTATGATGCTGGATAAGTCGATAGGATGGCACTACAGAGATCCTCAGGGCCGTGTGCAAGGACCATTTTCAGTAGATTTACTAAAACACTGGTGTGATGCTAACTACTTTCCACCAGATTTTAAGGTTTGGAAGGCAGGTCAAAGGCCGGATGAATGTGTATTTTTGGTTGATGTACTTCAATGGTTTTTCCCTTGATCAATTACAAAACATTAAGTACGAATACGCCAAAAAAGGAGTCTTCTGCCCATAGCCACACCCAAGACTGACGTCAGATAAATTCATGTAACATTTGAAAACCTTAGATTTTTTTTTTTTTGGAGTTATAAGAGGGCGGGTTCGATAATAATTAGTTTTTTTTTTTTTCGCCATGGTAAAAATTAATTTAGGTCAATTCTGTGTAATCCACGTGCTATGTGCAATCTGCAATTTACAATTGTATTGGTGAATTTATGCTCACTGATTGATCATTTTGTCTCTTCGGCGCCTTTCATTGTCTCTCTCTCAGTTGCATCCTTCTTGTTTATATGAAGCTTATAAATCTATTCTTGACGTTAATTTTGCTACATATCTAGATGATTACCAATCCTTGCATTGCTAGCATTGGTCATAATGCCAAGGATAATTATCAGGTTTCTCGTTACTTTGAAATTTCTATCATGTTATTAACTATTGAAAGAATAGGGCTTCTCTTTTTTTTTTTTTTGGGTAGTTCTTTAAAGTTGGTCCAATTTTTAGGAAAAAATGGTCAAAAGCTCCTGGTTAAAAAATTAATGGTGTAAAGGTATATGAAATTTGTTTAAGAATTTAATCACAATCTATGCAACTCTAATTGTGTAACCTATTTTTAATTATGTGCAAAACGAAAGATATGTGCATATAATTGAAGATATATTGTATACAATCAAAATTATGCTACACAGTACACACAACTGCAGAAAAGTTGTATACACATGAATTATACACATTTAAGGACTTGAATCCTTCTAGCCAAAATAATAATAATAATAATAAAGGACTTGAGTCCTTAAGTACCTTTGCACGATTTTTCTTTTTGATTCATGTTTTAGTAGAGGGAATTTATATTGTATTATGTATAAAAATAATGTATCCAATGGTATTGGAGGTAATTTACAATTTAGTTCCTAGGTTCAATTAAAACATTGAAAACTCCAAAATAAAAGACTTAGGTGTTATAAATAAAGAAGAAATATAGGGAAGAATCATACAAAGAAAGAGAGGATCAACAAGAAAGAGTATTTCTCATTCTATTCAAGTATGCTCAATACATTATATGTAGCCTCTATTTATAGGTACAGTTTTACACCTTTGATAGAATCTACAGATTACATAATTATATGAGATAATTGTTGGATATAGAGATAATGGGAGATATTAGAGATTATAGGAGATATAGGAGATAATGGGAGATATATGGACATCCACAAAGATATTATTATATGCATAACACTCCCCTTTGGATGTCCAATATATATGAATATGCTTCATTAAAAAACTTCAACTAGGAAAAACCCAGTGGGACAAAAACCTAGCGAAAGAAAAAGAGTACACTATTCATTGATACACTAGCAATGCTGCCTCATTAAAAACCTTGCTAGGAAAACCCAGTGAGACAAAACCATAAACAAGAAAAAAAGAATACAGCGTGTATTAACTCTCTCTTTTGACAACATCAGTTGACATCTTCAAGCCTACAAAGTCTAATATAACGAACAACCCTTCCAAATATTGTAATGAGATAAAAATGTCAAATATGAATTTCATGATGTTCTGAAAATCATGAGACGAATAGTCCTTTTATGGTTTACCCACACGCGGATCATATATAATCTATTGACATAAGGATCAAACAAGAATACTTTATCTATATAGCCATTAAGATTAGTCTTGGGTACCTTCATATAAAATAATATTACCTCCATGGCACCCTTAAAGTAATGAAGAATATTTTTAGTTCCATTCCAACATCTTCATGTTGATAAAAACTATATCATGCTAATCAGCAAATGATATATCAGGTTCTGTATGGCTAAATATATAAATGCTTTAATGATACTAAAATATAGTACTTCTGGACCAAGTGTTTATTCATTACCTTCTGGAGGTCTAAATCGATTTCTAATCCATATCTAAAGATCTTGCAACTACCAAAACACATAATGGATGTTACTTATTCACATAATGGATGTGATTTATCTATATGTATTCTTCTCAAAGCTTTCATTTCAAACTTTTTCTTTAAGTAATTCGTAGCTTTTGAAAACTCATCAGGAGTTTCAATGCTATCATCATAAATAGTACTGATAACAAACTCATTTTGAATCTTTTCACAAATAGACAAGTTGGAATATGTTTACATTATTCTTCCAGTCGATATTAACCATATATGCCTCATATAGACATTTAATTGAACAATGTTCTTGAGAACATAATTGTATGCTTCTAGAAGCTCAAATCCTTCAAGGATTTTCATACATTATGATTCAGATCAGTTCATGTATTGGATCGTTTGAATTTATACAAGAATTTGAATCCTTCTGGGATTCACATATAATTTCACTATAAAGTGAGTCATACATTATAGTTACATATTTCTAAGACACACATGAAAAAACGTCATTTATTACCAGACTATTAGGTTGATAAGACATGTAATTTAATCCATCACAAGACTTTATTTCTCTTTATATTGTACAAATGCCTATTTACATAATAGTAGCATTACACTTCAAGTGCATGGGCTAGGGATACACAAATCCTTGTTACATTGCGTCTGTTCTTTTCTGTTGGCCAACCATTTCTCTGTCTGTATCTCATGACAGATTTATATATAAGATCCTCATTTGATCATGTGATATCATCAATAAAATTATTATCGACAATTTTATTCCTTTATCGGTCCCATTTTCTTTTATAACATAGCATATCAAGATCTCTTTATTGCTTTCAGACACTTAAACCTCTTCAAGGGTCAAAGAGTTATGTCTTAACCTCTTTTGCAATTTATGCCTCCTTAGTATGATCATCATAATCATTCGCTCCTTTTTCTTCTTTTTTTTTTTGAACCGATCATAATCTTATGCTTTTAGCATGTTTTCAAGAATATGAGCACTTTTAGCTGGAATATAAGAATTAAGAATTCTCATTTGGGTCAGTAATTGCATCTGACAAATATTAGTAATATTTTACGAACACAATACTTTATAAACTTTTAGTTCATACTACTATATTTAAGGATCTACATTTGATAGTGAAAATACATTCTATGTATTTTCTTTTCCAGCTACACATTTTCCCCCCATCATATTTGGAACATGTAATGTAGGTCTCCCAAATCTATAAATCTCTTTTAGAAACATTTTTTTGTTTCATTTAGAGACAAACAAGAATAAGAAGATTCTTATCCAACAGTGATCCCAACTTACTTTTAATATCCATCTATGTGTATTGTTATGGTGGAATAATAGATATTGCACATTCTAAGACGAAAAATGTCTGGCTCCTGACCAAAAGCCAATTATAATGGGAGAATTCACAATACATTGTTAGCTTAATGCATTTATGTGCAAAATATATAAAATCAATCATCCAAACACTCAAATGGGAATTATGTTCTCATAAACTCTGATCTAGCTACTTATGAAGGCTCTTACTAAACATATAATCATCAGTAACAAGAAGAACAATCACTAACAATCTCAACGAGAGTCATATTGATTTCATAATTAGGAACTTATGTACTCAATATAATTATCTGAACATATTTGCAAACTTTAGGTTGCAAGTTGATCATCAACACCTGTGACCATTTTATAGATGCATCTTTCACTTATAGAGTATTACTTTGGTCCACATGGTGTCTAAAGGGGCCTATATATAAAGTTGATACATTATAAATCTGCACGTATCCAATTTTGAGCATAGCTAGTGATGTTCTCTTATTTAGTTCTTTTGAGAACAAACAACATATAAAAATTCTTGAATTATATATCATTTTTAAATAATCTTCTGGTTCTTTAATAAATGACAATGCACATTTTTCATGATATTTTACATTATTATGATCCGGGATGATCTGACTGGTCATGCCAAATTATAAATGCATAAACTTCTGGTTTATTATAAAATTATTCTCAATTATTAGTAAACTTCTCGTTACCATGTCATATTATTCATTTTTCACTTTAATATTTCATAAGGAATATGCTATCAATTATGGATTTGATCTTCATGATAATAAATTATGATATAGCTCTTCTAGAGCATTATTTTTCATCTTTTACCTAATGGTAAAAACTTGTACACTCATGGAAGGTTGAGTACTACTGACTCTTCTGGAGCCTTCTTCAAAAGCAATATAAGATATAAGGAATGACATTAATATTGATAATAACAAATTTCATCCAACATAATTTACAGTTGTATTTCAACAATCTCCAATCATAGCTATGGCACCCGATGTTTAAAACAACGGTAGATAATCTTTTTAATTCCATATAATGGCTTAGATTATCCTAGATAAATTGAATAAGAATACGGATACTCTGAAACACCATATATATGATGCTCGAGCTATTTTTATTTGAACAGAGCAAAGGATACTCTAAAATTATGCTGGGATAAAAAGGTATATCATTCGCACCTTGGTTAGAGTTTCGTGTTGATAACGTGCTATAAATAAAGAAGAAATATAGAGAAGAATCATACAGAGGAAGAGAGGATTAACAAGAAAGAGTATTTCTCATTCCATTCAAGTGTGCTCAATACATTATACGTAGCTTCTATTTATAGGTACAGTTTTACACCTTTGATAGAATCTATAGATTACATAATAATATGAGATAATTGTTGGATATAGAGATAATAAGAGATATTAAAGATTATAGGAGATATATAGACATCCACGGAGGTATTATTATATTCATAACATCAGCCATATTTTTCTTTTATTAAATTTCAAATTCAGATAAGACTAGCTAAATCGAGATAAATGCCACCCCTTTTTCTCTCCATGCAAAATCTCCTCTTCACTACTAGGGATGCAGCCGCGGTTTATTGCGGTTTATTGTTTAGCAGCCATTGCCCACTGAAGTACGAAGGAGACATGGAGATATGGGTGTATATTACACTATTGGCCCCCAAAAATTATAGTCCGCGCATACAAATTTTTTTAAGGGAAATTGTAATAAGATTTCACCCAAGAGAATTAAATACAAAAAAATCTTTTAAAATTATCAAATTATTCTAAAGACCCAAAAAACCTCATTGCAAGACGTTTTATTTATTTAATTATCAAATTGGCATCAACTAAAAGAGCAGTCATTAATAATTTAAGGTGTAACGATTAATAACTATCGCAACATGTATTAACAGCACACTTTCTCAACACATCACAAAAATGTAATACATGAGTTGTCAATATCTGTCATGATAGTTACTAATCACTGCATCTTAAGTTGTTAACAATTGTAC